AACCCTTTATTTTGTCAGGATGAGAACTGCTTGGGTTTACCATTTCTGACTTTGAGTAGAAAATTACTGTTTTAGTTAAAGCAGGCTTTTCAAACATTCTGTACATTCAGAATCTCTCTTAGAGAAAAACTAGGAGGATTCAAAGTGATTGATTTGGTTGAAAATGTCAATTCTGAAAAATTTAAGGCATACATCATTTCATAAGCATGAATAAATTTTTCTACCACAGGTAGAAAGAGAAACATGGCACCGGATTGTTCCTCAAAGTGGAGCCCAGGCCCCCAGCAGGTGGCGCACCCCAGAAACACATCTCTGACTGTGCTACTTCCTGTTGTTCTGTTTATTTTATTCAGTTGATTACAGACTATACCAATTCTATTCATTTCTCTTGTTCATTCTCTTCTGTTGCTTCTTCTCTGAATAATCTTTCCATTTTCCCATACAACATTTTATGTTATAGAATGTCACTCTTTAATGTTTTGATTTTTAGGCATTTCTCATTATTTTAAGCGTTGCTCGTTATCTTCTAATTACATATCTCACAATGAATGGAAGATAATTGTATTTTAATATTCACTTCTAAAGTGTTCTTATATCAATTTAGCTGTCTTTTATGTGGCTTACTACTATATATTTTAATTCTAATACTTCTTTTCTTTTTTAACAATATATAAAATTTTTTTTCTATTTTAATTGTTTTTTTAAATTTCTTTGTTCAAAAATTAACATATAAAATTTAAATAAAAGTTAATGTATAGACTTTTTAACATTTCTTTCTGATTACAAAAAAAAAAAAAACCAGATATTTCTGTCTTATTTTGCAACCCTCATTTACACTTTCCTATGCATCAGGGAAAAACTGGTGCACATAAGGCAAATAGTTCAACAAGCACCTAGGTTCCTATCACTTGGCATTTCTCAAAGACTACTCAGAGGCAATTTAATCCTGGTGTTTGAATGTAAACTTAGTATCCCAGCTGGGTAAGTGGACAGTTTTCTAGTGTGACAGAATACACACAATAAGAAGAGGTTCACTGTAGCAACAAGAATGGTTGGGAAAAAAATGGCCTGACATTTTATCCTATTGCTGTATATTGATTTGTCTCAGAAAAATTCAGTGCTTTCTTGCAGCTGTGATTTGGAGGTAAATAGGAAAGACTTTCAGAAAGGACCTAGTTCAGAAGCATCCTGTAAAGGCAATGGGTAATTTTTATTACCACCTGTCAGGTTATCAGAGCATTGAGACTTCTATAATTATTGAATTTTAATGCATAACCTCAAAGTACAAAAACCACAATAAAGTATTAAAATGATGCTTGTGATGGGGAATACTTGTGTGTGGGGAAAACCCTCATATATGTTAAAATGCTTACTCATTGATATTATATGTACTATTTATAGAAGATGAGCTGAAGAGTTCTTTCATTGAAATCACCTTTGTTTATGCAGCTCTTGCCACTTTCCAATAACGTAAATGCCTTTTACAGACTTGTATTTTACTAGCTTTCCGGTATGTACAAAAACAAAGTCATAGTCTGGCTACACCCTCTCAGACCAGTATAGTTCCTCCCCTCACTTCTCCTAAATATGAAAATATATTCATTAATATAGCCAATTGAATAATATCCCTGTTAAAGATGCTGTCAGTGAATCATCATTACTAGAGAGCTTGCAAAGTTGAAATGGAAAAAATGAATTCTCATTTTTGCATTGTAATCATTAATGTTTTGTAATCATTTAATTGTGCTTTAAAATTGTGCATCAATAATTATTTATATGGTAATGCTATCAGCAAACTAAAAAGTCAAATGAATAAGACATTTTATTAGGAGCAAAATTATGATCAAGAACCACTGTAACAGAAGTAATTTTAACAATTAAATTTTCTTGGAAAATATATTTGAAAGTATCATAACTTAACTTTTAGGAGATACTGTAATTATTTCAATTCAAGATAGATAGGCTAGTAGTGTATGTTGGACACCTGGATGAAAATAGGTGTGTGATGGGCCCTTTACTGAGAAAATTACACTGTAATTGATATTGAAACTATTAGACATATGTATGCATAAAGATACAAGTCTTAAAGAGAGGCAGAAATAGATCACTCTGGGGATCAAAAGTAGATAAATTCACATAAAATTGGACATCAGAGAGCTACAGTTCATCAGGTAGGTAATATTTGAAATGGATTTTAGCGTATTAGTAAATTTTTCCACAGGTGCAGATGAATGTAATGGTAAAGGAAATATTTCATGCCAGAAATGTTTCCTTAAATAGATTTACCCATCTCTTGTTTGTGTTCAAATATTCTTCAAATGAGCCTTCCGTGGAGGCACTTTGTATACAACCGACTGAAGTATGTTAGTGCCAACTCAGAAGGATGGGAAGTTAGACATCTAAATTCTTCATCTCTATTCTTTTGTTATTTACCACCACTCATTTTTTTTATCAACACCTCAACATAGATATGCTATATTTTGAAACAGCAAATTTTGTATTATAATTTTATCATTGGAAGACATCAGTTCATTTTGGTAGCTCAGTCATGCCCGAATCTTTGAGACCCCATGAACTGCAGCACATCAGACCTCCTTGTCTATCACCAACTCCCAGAGCTTGCTCAAACTCATATCCATTGAGTCAGTGGTGTCATCCAACCACCCCATCCTCTGCTGTGCACTTCTCCTCCGCCTTCAATCTTTCCCAGCATCAGGGTCTTTTCCAATGAATCAGTATTTGCATTAGATGGCCAAAGTATTGGAGCTTCCGTTTCAGCATTAGTCCTTCCAGTGAATATTGAGGACTGATTTCCTTTAGGATGGACTGGTTGGATCTCCTTGCAGTCCAAGGGACTCTCAGGAGTCTTCTCCAATACCACAGTTCATAGGCATTAATTCGACAGCACTCAGCTTTCTTTATGATCCAATTCTCACATTCATAAATGATTACTGGAAAAACCGTAGCTTTGACTAGACAGACCTTTGTCAACAAAGTAACATCTCTGCTTTTTAATACATTTTCTAGGTTGATCATAGCTTTTTCAAAGAGCTCTTCAAGGAGCAAGTGTCTTTTTATTTCATGGCAGCAGTCACCACCTGCAGTGATTTTGGAACCCAAGAACATAAAGTCTGCTACTATTTCCAATGTTTATCCATCTACTTGCCAGGAGTGATGGGACAGGATGCCATGATCTTAGTTTTCTGAATGTTAGTTTTAAGTCAGCTTTTTCACTCTCCTCTTTCATCATCATCAGGAAGCTCTTCAGTTCCTCTTTGCTTTCTGCTGTAAGAATGGTGTCATCTGCATATCTGAGATTATTGATATTTCTCCTGGAAATCTTGATTCCATCTTGTGTTTCATCCCGCCCAGCATTTCACATGATGTACTATGCATTTAAGTTAAATAAGCAAGGTGACAATATATAGCCTCGACATACTCCTTTCCCAATTTGGAACCAGCCTGTTGTTACATGTCTGGTTCTAACTGCTGCCTCTTGACCCACATACAGATTTCTCAGCAGGCAGGTAAGGTGTTCTGGTATTCCCATCTCTTTAAGAATTTTCCAAGTTTTGTAGTGATCTACACAGTCAAAGGCTTTGATGTAGTCAATAAAGCAGAGGTAGATGTTTTTCTGGAGCTCTCTTGCTTTTTTGATGATCCAATTTGATCTCTGCCTTTTCTAAATCCAGCTTGAACCTCTGGAAGTTCTTCATTAATGTTCTGTTGAAATCTGGCTTGGAGAATTTTGAGCATTACTTTACTAGCATGTGAGATGACTGCAATTGTGCAGTAGTTTGAACACTCTTTGGCATTGCCTTTCTTTGGGATTGGAATGAAAACTGACCTTTTCCAGTCCTGCGGCCACTGCTGAGTTTTCTAAATTTGTTGGCATATTGAGTGCAGCACAATATGGAAAGCATAACAGCTTTATTTGAATTAGAATTTAAAAAAAGTAAAGCTGAAAGGAATCATCTTGGCTATAGGTGTATGCTGAATCGAACTCTCAGGGCAGTACTTTTTCAGTGGGGAAGGAAATAACTACATCAGAGGATTCCCATTAAAAGTTCTGGGAAGGCAACAACTTATATGTCAATGAAAGAGACTTTAAAAGTGAGAAATATTGATATAAAATATAACTCTAGGGGCCTTATGGGAAAGGTGACAGAAATAGTTGTTTGGGGGATATTCTGAAGTTTTGGATATCATAATAGGATGTGTGGCTGTACAGGTTGTATACTGCATAACCCAGGGGGTTGTCACAGCTGGATTATGTGCACATCCCAAACAGCCGGGCATCATGAACTTTGTACCTAATTTGGATAACATAGAGAATCTTTCAGAGAAGGAAATGGCAACCCACTCCAGTACTCTTGCCTGGAAAATCATTTGGATGGAGGAACCTGGTAGGCTGCAGTCCATGGGGTCACTAGGAGTCAGACACGACTGAGCGACTTCACTTTCACTTTTCACTTTCATGCATTGGAGAAGGAAATGGCAACCCACTCCAGTGTTCTTGCCTAGAGAACCCCAGCGACGGGGGAGCCTGGTGGATTGCTGTCTATGGGGTCACACAGAGTCGGGCACAACTGAAGTGACTTAGCAGCAGAGAATCTTTTGAGTTATTTCCGCATCTCAGAATGGCATGATTATTGTTGACCCTTAAGGAAATGAATTTTGCAGTTTTCTGATTCAAATTCCAGAAATATGAGTATAGACTACCAAACTCCATGGTCTTTTAGAGACATAAACTGGGTTTGTAACTTTTCCAGAAGTGTGAGTAAAAAACAAATATGACTCTAAACCTTTTTCTCCATTGACCTCTCAAAGAAGAATTGTTGTACCCTGATAGAACTGGAAAGGTCATGATTGGGACACATAAGAGAGATTATTTCTCCTTTGAACATTTCAAATTACTATGAATGATTTTGTTATACTAAATGGACAAATTGCCCTAATTCTCCTGACAGGGCTTTATTTTTCTTTGTCTTCTCTTTCAGGCTGAAGTCATTGATGTGAGTTATGGAAATGCAGATGACTTAAAGCGGATTAAAAAAATGAAAAATGTCACAAATCGGATTGCACTCTTGAAATTAGGAAAATTGCCACTACTTTATAAGGTTAGTCCAGTGCCCATCATTTGGTTGTGGGGTGAATTTTGTTTAGTTGGGGTTACACTTGTATCTGGGAACATGAAGAGAGAGAGTGTATGTATGTATGTGTGTGTGAGTGAGAGTGTTTAGAGAGAGAGAAAGAGGTGTAATGTGTCACAGGAAGATAACTTTTCCAAAATGGAAAATTTCATATTAAAATCTTTAATATATTGTGCTTGTGGGACCTTCATAAAACTGGCATTCCCTTTATAACATCTATCTGGAATGGTAAAAATGAGAACCACAGTGTCCTCTTCTTATGACATCTGTGAAACTTCTAATCTATTATCTAATTACCATGTGCTTTATGTTACACTAGTATCTCGCAGATTTACATTCCTCAGTGATTAATTTTGTCGACTCTATAACGTCATAGTTACTGGCTGTGCTCAGAAATTTAATTAAAGTATAATATACTAAGAAGAGGCAGAGTTTTGATTTATTTTATTTAAATAGAAGTTTATTAACACTCATCCACTAGATGCATCTACATAATTAAAGCAGTTCAATCTAAGTATCTCATAATGAACCATCACAATAGAGAGTCACTAGTGCTCTTCCTTAGTTCATTTTCTTTTCCTATTAAAAAAGAATAGTCAGTGTAGTTCTGTCACTGGAATGCTCTGGTTCTGAACATATATTCGATTTCACCTTATTCAAAACTATATGAGCTTTGCTAACTCCTAAGAGCAAAAAAGTTTCCAGAACTCTGTTGGCACACTCTGTAAGGACACAAGAAAACATTCTGTGCCTGTTTTTTTAAATTATTTTCCAAGGATGCCCTTATACTTAAATCAATGTCTGATAAAAGATAACAGGCCAGAATTTTAAAGATAGTCTTGAAAATATACATTGATAACATTAATACTAGTGTTTTGTAGGACAATTTGTCAGTATGTATTAAAGGCCTTTAAATAATCACATTTTGACTGAATAATTCCATTTCAATCAATATATTCTAAGGGGGAAAAACAGGTATGATAAAAACATGATGGCCAATGATGTGAGAAAATATTTGAAATGATATATGCATCTAGTTTCAGTTTCCCATGTGGCTCAGTGGTAAAGAATCTGCCTCCCAGTGGGGGAGACACAGGAGACATGAGTTCGATCCCTGGATGGGAAGATCCCCTGGAGTAGGAAATAGCAACCCACTCCAGTATTCTTGCCTGGAAAATCCCATGGACAGAGGAGCCTGGAGGGCTATAGTCCATGGGGCAGCAAAGAGTTGGACATGACTGAGCACACACACATACATCCAGTTTAGCATTGAAAATCATTCTATACTGGTACAGCTGAATACTGTACAATAATTTCAACATAAAACATACTTAAGATATGTGAAAATCCTCAGATGTCAAATAAGTTATAAAGAGGACATTTATAATAATTATATGATAATTATTATTGTTACTTCTAAAAGTAACATTGTTTGAAATGTGGGCTAAATATTTTTCTAAACATTTTTAACGTATTTTCACATTAATCTTTACAGTCATCATAGTGTTGAGGTATGGATTATTATCTTCAATTTATAGATAAGTATCACAAATGAATGAGGAAGGAAATAAGATAGAGTGCACTCCGCCAACAATAGTGTAAATCTGGTAGAGGGGCAAGAACATGCAATTTTAAATCAAGGGTACAGTTTTGATCATGGTATAAGACTAGTTATTCTAATTATTTATTTAAGACAAGTGATTCAAATTGCTTAGAGAACATTTTATTACCAATAGTCAGAAGAAGTCTTCCTCTAAATTTTGGGGGGAGAATGTACCTTTTTGGATGTTTAAAAGTACAGTGGAAAAAAAAAATAGAGTATCCACTTATCCACAGGGGATAAATTTCAAGACCCCCATGGATTCTTGAAACCACATATAGCACCAAACCGTACTTATATTATGGTTTTCCCTATACATATATACCTATGATATAATTTAATTTATAATTAGGCATGGTAAGAGATTACCAACAGTAATGAAAATAGAGCAGCTATAACAATATGCTGTGATAAAAATTATGTGAGTATAATATCTCCACAGTCACTCTGATCATCTGGAGAGCTGCATAGTGACTTTCAGGCAGGAGAGCATACACAGTGTAGATATGCTGGGCAACAGGACCATTCACATCCTGGCTGGAGGGAGTGGGACAGCCTGAAATGTCATCAGGCTACTCAGAACAGCACATAATTTAAAACTTAGGAATAATATTTTGAGAATTTTCCATTTAATATACTTTGAATGGTCTTTGACCCTGAGTATCTGAAACCTCCAAAAGTGAAACTATGAATAACGGGGAACCACTGTAACACTGTTTTCGGTATATTATATGAATCCTGATTGTTCAAACTAATAGTGATATAGATGACTAAAATGTTGTTTGTGGTGGGGCCAATTATTTAAATTTGGTTGATAGAATTACTGATGATTTCTACTTCTTTATATTTTTCTGAAGATTTTGTATAAATTTTATAAGAAAACAGTCTAAAAATTCATGTTAAAGCATTTAATTTTTTTTCTAACAATGTTTATAGGCCAAACTCAAAATCCTTACCAGTAGATAATGGATTAAAACAGTCGATTTCTTTTTATTTGACGGCTCCAGAGAATATTTACATTCAGTTCGGTTCAGTTCAGTCACTCAGTCATGTCTGACTGTTTGCCAAACCATGAACTGCAAGACTCCAGGCCTCCCTGTCCATCACCAACTCCCGGAGTCCACCCAAACCCATGTCCATTGAGTTGGTGATACCATCCAACCATATTATCCTGTGTTGTCCCCTTTCCTCCTGCCCTCAATCTTTCCCTGCATCAGGGTCTTTTCAAATGAGTCAGCTCTTCGCATCAGGTGGCCAAAGTATTGGAGTTTCAGCTTCAACATCAGTCCTACCAATGAACACCCAGGACTGATTTCCTTTAGAATGCACTGGTTGGACCTCCTCGCAGTCTAAGGGACTCTCAAGAGTCTTCTCCAACACCACAGTTCAAAAGCATCAATTCCTCGGTGCTCAGCTTTCTTTATAGTCCAACACTCACATCCACACATGACCACTGGCAAAACCATAGCCTTGACTAGACGGACCTTTGTTGGCAACATAATGTCTCTGCTTTTTAATATGCTGTCTAGGTTGGTCATAACTTTCCTTCAAAGGAGTAAGTGTCTTTGAATTTCATGGCTGCAATCACCATCTGCAGTGATTTTGGAGCTCAAAAAATAAAGTCAGTCACTGTTTCCACTGATTCCCCATCTATTTGCCATGAAGTACTGGGACTGGATGCCATGATCTTAGTTTTCTGAATGCTGAACTTTAACCCAGCTTTTTCACTCTCCTCTTTCTCTTTCTTCAAGAGGCTCTTTAGTTCTTCTTCATTTTCTGCCATAAGGGTGGTGTCATCTGCATATCTGAGGTTATGATATTTCTCCCGGCAGTCTTGATTCCAGCTTGTGCTTCTTCCAGTCTAGCATTTCTCATGATGTACTCTGCATATAAGTTAAATAAGCAGGGTGACAATATACAGCCTTGATGTACTCCTTTTCTTATTTGGAACCAGTCTGTTCCATATCCAGTTCTAACTGTTGCTTCCTGACCTGCATACAGATTTCTCAAGAGGCGGGTCAGGTGGTCTCGTATTCTCATCTTTCAGAAGTTCCCACAGTCTTTTGTGATCCACACAGTCAAAGTCTTTGGCACAGTCAATAAAGCAGAAATAGATATTTTTCTGGAACTTTCTTTTTTGTTGATTCAGCAGATGTTGACAATTTGACCTCTGGTTCCTCTGCCTTTTCTAAAACCAGCTTGAACATCTGAACGTTCACAGTTTACGTATTGCTGAACCCTGGCTTGGAGAATTTTTTTTTCCATTTATTTTTATTAGTTGGTGGCTAATTACTTTTATAATATTGTAGTGGTTTTTGTCATTCATTGACATGACCAATACAGTATACTAACACATATATATGGAATTTAGAAAGATGGTAATGATAACCCTATAGGCTTGGAGAATTTTAAGTATTGATTTACTAGCATGTGAGATGAGTGCAATTGTGCAATAGTTTGAGCATTCTTTGGCATTACCTTTCTTTGGGATTGGAATGAAAACTGACCTTTTCCTGTCCTGTGGCCACTGCTGAGTTTTCCAAATTTGTTGGCATATTGAGTTCAGCACTTTCACAGTGTCATCTTTCAGGATTTGAAATAGTTCAACTGGAATTCCATCCCCTCCACTAGCTTTGTACATAGTGATGCTTCCTAAGGCCCACTTGACTTCACATTCCAGGATGTCTGGCTCTAGGTGAGTGATCACACCATCATGATTATCTGGGTCGTGATGATCTTTTTTGTACAGTTCTTCTGTGTATTCTTGCCACCTCTTCTTAATATCTTCTGCTTCTGTTAGGTCCCTAACATTTCTGTCCTTTACTGAGCCCATCTTTGCATGAAATATTCCCTTGGTATTTCTAATTTTCTTGAAGAGATCTCTAGTCTTTCCCATTCTATTGTTTTCCTCTATTATGAAACCATTAGATGAATTTCATAAAGTAGTGAAATAGTGGTTTATCTAGAATAGGACACAGTTATTAAGAACCCAGTACATTTTCCCTGGTCATCCTCCTTACATGCCTATGAAAAGATTTAACAGAGAGGTCTATGAAATATTCCCCTCCAGACAAAGTCTCGTGACAAGCTTGGCATTTTCTTCTAGGCAAAGAAGATAGAGCATCCTTTCTTTAACGTTTCAAGTTCTATTCTAGATAACTCTGTTTTCTGTAATTGTCACAGAGATTATACAATTATTGATACCATATCTGTTAAAATACATTCCCACTGTAAAGAAAAAAGAAAGCATGGAGTAGACCAAGTTATATAGAATGATTAGAGCTGAACTTGCTTCACCTGTCCATCAAATATATTCTGAGGTTGAAATTAAAAAGAGAGGTAATACAGCAATATGGCTAGGTTGAAA